CACGGACGCCATGAGTCTATGTTGGACAAAATTTCACAATCCATACCTATGCCCTCCATGGAACATGTTGCCGGCTATATTGCAGAAGTTGCAAACAGACCGGGTCAAGATGTGTACCCTGATTACACCGAATTGGATGGGGGCGATTTGGTACCCAAGACTGTTACAACTGTCTCGTCAAGAAGAACCCATAATCATACCTCGGGATCAAGTGTTGGCATCACCAGGTCAATCTCAGTCGCTTTTGGACAAGAATCAGCACTGGCAACTGGTAGCATGGCACCTTCACCTTTAACCATTCCGAAACAACGGCATGTTGATAATCCACCCACGTTAAATGAAGAATCAACTGCCATCATTAACAACCCCCACAGACTACAACTGCAACGACGACGCTACGATGGCGCCCAGCGACGTTTTCTTAATTGGTCTATTCAACATAACCGCAAAGTATTAGAATTTGTCAGCGCTATTGATATGGTCAATTATTTAGCTTATGGCCACGTTCACCACAAGTGGGCTTATAACACTATACTGCAGTATAAACAAGCTATTTTAAAGTTATACACCAAAGAACAACGAGCCCTCATTGCCAATGATGACAGCTACATCAATTTTTTTGCAGCTCTCAAAAATGATGCGGTTCTATCGTTTGATTTCCCGGTTATTAATTTGCAACCAGCCATTGACTTCGTACTTGGTTTAGGCGAAAACCAATCCATGAATCTTTTGCAACTAACACAGAAGCTCTGCTTTTTACTGGGTATTACGGGATTCCTACGTCCTTCTGATATTGAACGCATCGATGACAGCAAGACCATGGTTACTGCCGAATCGTTACGTTTGGTCATTCTTGCACCCAAAGAAAAACGGGCTGGTCGGCCAATTGAAAAAGTCGTGGTCATTTCTAACCACTCTTCTCCTCTGTTGTGCCCGGTAGCTACCTATCAAACCTACAAAACACATTTTCGGGCTGAGCCTCCTATAATTCGCCAGCACGCTCGCCTTCCACAATTCACCTACACTGCATTAGTTCGAAACACTACCGATACCAATCGATGTATTGGTTCAGAACGCATCAGTAAACACATTAGGTCTATCCTAAGTTTAGCCACCACCACTGCTACTACTTCTTCAACAAGCCGTAAAACAATCAAAGCGCGTGCCGTGGGATCTACTAGGGCCATTCTTGCAGGTGCAAAACTTGAAGACATATTGACTCATGGTTCCTGGGCATCTTCGTCTATTTTTGATACCTACTATAGGTTGAATCGGGCATCCGCCACCAATTTTTCAAATCTTATTTTGTGAAGTACCAACGCTTTACTCTGGATACACAACAAGAGTCTCCGACCTTATGAAGGATAATAGTTATTTAAGTTCGAAGCATAGCTGACGAACTCAACTTATTATCCGAAGGGGAGGAGACTCTTGTTGTCCCACCCTTTTATCCCACCCTATGTTATATTTATATTTTAGCTTATTATTTTATTTCTGTATGGATACGGTTCTATATTTATCCCAAGTATCATTTTATTATATTATTTATCATATTTTTTTTTTCTGAATTTCGCATTAATAAAGAAAAGATGGTAACACAACAAGAGTCTCCTCCCCTTCGGATAATAAGTTGAGTTCGTCAGCTATGCTTCGAACTTAAATAACTAGAAGCTATTTTGGCTCTTTCTATCTTCATACATGTAATATATGTGGACTTTTTGTAGAAAAATTCTGTTCCCGCCTTTCAAACACTTTTAAATTTCTGAGGGTCTGTTTTTTTAGTTTTAAGTTTTTCAAAGATGAGTCAGGCTTATGATGAGTTGACAAAAACTCATGGTGTTTCTACCTTGACAAAGTCCATTCCAAGATAAAACTCTTTAGTGAGAGTGAGGAAAAATATGTTGTTTTTGTTACTTGAAAGGTTGTGTCTTCCACCGGCTTATTAAGTTCTTCAAAACTGTCAACAGTTAAATATATTGTCTGAAAAGGAGACGCTTTTTCAAAGGACATGCTAAATACAGCAGGAAAAGTTGGTGCAGTGAAGTAAAAGACAATTTTTGGTTCCCGAAAAAAAACCACATGCAATAACATTTTTTGTGTCACACCAACTTCATCAGTATTCTTTTACCCCTGGAATCATCTTCAATAATAGATATATACAAATTTTTTTTGTAAAAAAGTGATGTAGACATTATGGATCATCTATAAATTACAATAAACGACGTTTTTTTAATCATTTGTCATTTTTATGTTTTGCGGTCGCGGTCCAACTTCTATAATTACCAGCGGTCCAGATATTTCCCAAAAATTGGACCGGGACCGGAGGTTTCGGTCTAAATTGAATTTTACTGCGATTAAGTTTTACGGCGTCCGTCTGCTTCACTGATTAAGCTGGCGTACGTGTACATGTGCCATGCTATCGCCTGTACCTACCCCTTCTTCTGTAATTACAATCATCTTCCGAACACGTTTCTTCTGCTGGCCGTTATCCTGCTACCGAGCAAGCTCCTCCTGCTGCTGCCGATCATAAAAATCGCTTTTAAAGTTATCTTCATGAAATTGGTAACGATAAAATGAATTTATTTTATTTAGTGTCGACCTGTAAGGGTCTGTAAAATCAACTGGAGCCAAAAACTCATCATTTTATGACATAAAGATGAACATAATCAAAATCAAGTTATAGCACATGCACTGAAATGCACACCCATCCGTAGTTATTGTGAAAGCCATGAATTTGGAGATTATGTATATCAAAGTAACTTTATCAAAAGGGGTTTTGTCTGAAGCGTGATACAATAAACACAGTTTTTTATGGACGTCATGACTGAGCTAGTGTATCATCTGAAAATCCCTAAATCCCGTGCTTTTGTTCATCAGTAAACTTCGAAGGCTAACTATAAAGTGTTTTTAAAAAAGGTGGCTAATTATGTGGAGTTCACATCTAGTGTAGAGGATACCTAACAGAGGCGAGGGCAAGAGCAGAACAGAATAGTTATTTAGGTGAGAACAAGGATGACAGAAATTATATATATATATTGTTTTATTATATGTTTAAAAATAAATGAAAGCCGAAAGAGGTTTATTCCAAGAAGAAATGAAAAGATATAAGATGTTGATTATAGAAGTACACATAAATAAACTTGCCTTTATTTGTAACAGTTGACAGGACTAGTAAGCGAAGGTTCAGAGATCAAATTTAACGAGACAGAATCTTAGTCATATTGAATTCGAGACATATTTGTGGCATCGGGCATAGATAGAGATGATGACATGAGCTGGTATTACTTCTGTTATATATCATACTTTAAGGACAAGGATACAAAGACAATGGATGTTAAATGTTTTTTCACAAGTAGAAGGTATAACGGAGATAAACTATTTGGAGCAGAGACGTTGGACAGGATACAATAGGCATGTTCAACATTTACATGTGCGACAAAAGAAAGAGAACAGGAAACATGTGTTACAAAGACGATGGTCTGGCTTCGTTTCAATAACAATATGAAGTATTTTGCAGGATGGTTTTCAAACCGCAACCATCGGAGTTCATGACCACAAGACTATTTTACGTCTCG